TAGTACGTAGTACAGGCCTTGAAAAGGTACAGTACAGCACTTATATTACGGTCTGTACTGTACCAAAAGTTAGTACGTATGGATAATTGAAATAGTACAGTACAGAATTTCGAACGGTACAGTACAGAAGTTCAGGATACCGCTTTTTGACATGGATGCTTTGTCTTTAGTATGACGTTTTTTGGAAGACATAATTATAAAGAGCAAGCGCGTATAATAGAAGGAAACAAAATAGCAAAATGCTTTTGAAAGCTTAGATCTTTATTTATATTGTAGATGTTGATGGATGATTCTGATTAGTTAATTCCTATAACGAACTTTGTTATATCGCTAAAGTAAATGAATTTTATTATGCATGGTCTATTAAATATTTCGTTATAAGCCATCTTCGTTAAAGTGAGAGCTCGTTAAAGTAAACTTCACTGTGTATGTGTACATCACAAGAATAACACGGCTAAGATGGTAGTGACATTGTAAGTACTGTATTAAACTTGATAATTCTATAAATTTTGGAAACTCTTGTATTATGCAATATAATATCAGTAGCTATGATACTTTGGTTAGCAAATACGTAGAGAATCTAGTTAACAAAAAAAATAATCGATGAATTGCATTCAAGGTATTCAATTCAGTTCTCTAATTAAGACGATGGTTGGCAATCTTTGCCTGCTAGATCGCTTAATAGATCAACCATTACTGGAATATTGAACACCCTTTATACATGTGGATGGTCTATGGCATATAACTAAATATTCATTATTAATAAATGTGTCGTTTGTATTAGCGTGCATACATGCAAGCATTTCAAGAACTCGAAATAATAATAAGGGAGAAAGGCAAACTATATTCATACACTATACTACAAGATCCGGCATACAACTATTAATATGTTCCTTAAATTTTGTGCAAAGTAACTCGATTTTAAATGCTTATAGTAAAAAGATATTAATATTAGACAAGAAAAGTGTGCTTGCTGCTATAAGCGGTTTTCCTACTGTTGTGGCATTAACTACGTGACGTCGTCGAACATAATTTTATTGGGTCCGCCAAATCAAATTATAGTTGTCAGATCACATGATATATTCCCAAAATTTATACTAATATGACATTGCCTATGATTGATAAATGTCGCAATGTTAGGTAAATAAATACTAGAAAACCTAAAACAACAAATTTATTATTAGGCATTCAGAGTAAGCAAAATATGTACAAGTTAGAAATTGTACAACGTTCGGGTTCAAAAAACTAACTTGAGTGGTAAAATAATTTACTTAAAATCAAACAAAGCTCAGATACAAATGTTAAACGTATAATTATGAAAACAATATACAAACAAAAAATAATAAAAACAAAAAACATTTGAGCAAAAGTGTATTAAATTCTCTATAGACCTAAAAGTATCTCTGCAAACAAGTTTATCCAGTAAACTGTAACAACAACAATTTTATCATTCCTTGATTAACAAAGCATATCGTATTTTCTTGAATTTTTCAAAGTACTGTCTAATATTGAATTAGATTAAACCAGACAACAAACAAAATGTAAACATAACATCGTATGAATGTGATAAGAACCGTTCGAATGCCTAAAATATTACGCCAAATTTACATTAATTATTGTGTCAAAACATTCGTTACTATGTTCGGTCGTAGACATTAAAAGTTGACTTACATCAGACTTAGCGAAACATATGCTTGCGCAAAAGTACTTAAACAGGAGTGTAAGCAGCAGCTGTTGTAGTAGTGATACTAGGTGTTACATCTTTTTCCGCAAAGGTCTTGCAACAAAAGCCACCGGGTAGCGCTTCGCTGTTGGGTACGGCTGCAAGCGTAATCAACAAGACAAATGCGACAATAATTTTTTTCATCATGTTTGCGAAGATAGTTTATAAGAGTAGGTAAAATTTTTCGGTTGCAAATGTAATTGAATAACGTATTTTAATTCCTCAGAGCAAACAAAACCGCTCGCTTTTATAATAAAAACGGTTACACCTCCAAGACATATTGTAAACTTTAGCCTAACTTTCTAAAACCTTATTTCCGAAACAGTTAAATTACATAATTAAAAAAATCAATCAAGTAATAATTAGGCGTAATGAAATAAGCCTAATCATGTGTGAAGATTAATTAAACCCTTTTTTTTTGCACACGGACTGCCGACCCTTTTAGTTACACATTTAAAACATCAATGGCATTGAAAAATATGTGTGTACAAGTCAAATTTGATTAGTCCCAACTCTGAGTTTCGGGATTTTTATTCAGCGCACATGGGTGACCCCTAATTTACTGTGCTGCTTAATCCCAACTTTGAGGTTACAAACTTTTATGTAAAGTAGATATTATGTAAAGCCTTGCCTTAAATTTTTATCCTGTTATTCCGTATTAGTATGTATAGATTCCCTGCACTTATTTACTGCTCATTTATTGATATTATTGATCTCGATCACTCTTTTTTAAGTGTTATTCGATAATAACAATTACCCGAAAACTACATAGTCGATATTTTAAAAAATGACATGCGAAATGTTTTGATAATTTATCCTAGTAATTTATTGTCTTGAAATACTCCTTAACCTTAGTCGTCCATAAGGTTAGTCTAATGAATCAACCAATAACCGCACCAATCGGCGAAAGTGCCAAATTTGGATCACCGATGTGGATTGCGATTTCTTTACAAATAGAATCTAACCAACTAAATAATGATTATACATAAGTACCTCTAAGGTTTCTTCTGCTGTAATATTTGTTTTGCCGCTTGTAACAGTGTGTCGTTATGCTTCTGTTGCGATACCAATGTGACATAAAATGTTTCATCGTCACATTAATATTAATTGCTCGGATCTAAATTATGGCGCGCAAATGAATATCCATGCCGAAATTTTACAGTGTTGTTCGAAATGAATATTTTCTAATATTAAAACTTAAAATACAATAAATAGAAAAAAGGACACAATTTTTTCGCTGGTGACAGGGAAAAAAGCTTGGACGTAAATTTCTAATTAAAAAATTTTGACTGCAAAGCTCCATAGACTTTTTGTAACTTTTATTTTTATATTCTATTCGTATTTATGTGTGTTTGCATTCGCACAATTTGTTTGCCGAGATCTGTTGCATGTTAATTTGAATAGTATGTGCAAGGTCAACCCCAATAAACTGAAACCCCGATAAACCGAAAACCCCGTTTGACCAAACTTTTTTTGAAATCCGCATTTTTGCCTATTAAAATTACCCCGATAAACCAAAATTACTATTAAACTTCCAAGTTGAAACAATAAATGAAATCATCGTTTCTTATAATTGCGATAATCAATATCGACTGACTTGCACTAATAACTCGGTGATTACATTCAAATTGGGATGTTGGTCCTAACGCTAATTATGAAGCTGTGTTTGTAAACTTTGTTCATATAAGAAAATGCATAATTTGCGTGTGAACACAATAACAGACGCATGACCTGCGAAATTTTAGTGGTGTTACTAGAGTAGTTGTGAAAAGTTCAGTCGATTAAATCCAATTACAATGTTTTTATAATTATGATTGACGTATACGTTGTTTTAAATTGCGTACGATTATACTTGACGATTGGTAATAAAATTTAACATGCGTATGAATCATGATTGTAGTCATTGCCAGTGAAACTTTCAGAAACGTAGCTCTTGCTGTTCTGGAGATATTTGCGCTTTTGTGAATCCATATCGGGATGGGAAAGCTAAGCGCTAGTGAAAACAAGCCAAATTGAATATTTTATGTTAATCGCTTCTATTTCAGATAATTATCCTGCTGGGAAATCTGATATGTACTCCCAAAATAAGTATAGGAGCGAGTAGATCAATCGAAACTTGCAAAACATTCTGTAAACGTTCTTGGCACGCGTATAAATTTCGAATAGCACATCATAAAGTTTCCTTAAAACTGTCTTTCTTGGTTTTCGTAGGCTTTTTAGTCAAAATGTATTTTCCTTTTAATATTTGCGTCTTCTTGGAGTTCGAGGTGTTGGCGAACCTGGTAAATAAATGCACAAATCTTAATATAAGTAGTCGCTTCGATATACAGTAGAAATAAGTAAACCTCGATGTACACTGTAGCGATTTTTTGAGATAGTGAAATCTTCGACTTTCAACTGTACATTGTTTGAACCATAAAAAGTTTTTCCCCTTTCTGCACGCCATGACTTAAAATAAATCGTTCGACAATAATGTCAAGGCAGTTTTTGAAATAATGCTTGAGGTGATTTCAATACTACAGTGTGTGGTTAACGTGAGATAAAATTTTAATGTTATGGCATTATCTATCGAATACGCTTCTATAACATTGATCCATTTTAAGGCTTGAAGATAAATATCGCACAGAGTGCTGACGTACAATATCTTAAACTTATGGTCAAGAAATTAACCAGAAAGATGACTTTGAATTCCGGAACCAACTCTTTATGCCTTAAAAAATTTTAGAAACTGAATAAAATGCCGGATAGTTTATCAATGGTTTGTAATGATTATTCTTCTACGACACGAGAGTGTGAGTAAAAATCACCGCCATGTCAAATGATGAATACGTTAGCTATCGTCACGTGGATGCAAATACAATAAATAAACACCGATTGTGAATAATGCTTGCGTTATTAAAAACGTTAGCGATGATGACTCTGGAAGGCGATAGCGTAATGAATGTAACTCGTCATATCATTGTGAAGATATGTTTTATACAATAGCGACAGTACTCCTATTGGCAAATGCAATCGTATATTCTAATAACAATGCTAGAACTGACACGTTTATTGACTACTGTACAATCTAATGATCATATTTTTTACACATGAATTAAATATATAAAAATCAATAATTAAATGCAGTAAGTATGCTAAAACGCAAAAATGGTAGTACTTTTACCGACACGCTATATATTAACTCACATCAACGCAGTACCAAACAACTCATCAACACTCATTCTAAAACATCTATTCTCACGTTGCGTCGCTTCCGTTCTTATATTAGCCCAAGTCACCGAAAACGCCTCAACTTCTTCAGTTACAAAATCCCCTTGATATTGTAACGGATTTGTATAATCCCTTTGATAACAAATACCTCTCTTCTTATTGCTCATGCACAGGTCACCTCTCCCAAAACACGGTCCCCCATGGTTAAAGCAAACCGCCCTATTTACGTTCTCTACTTTTCTTAGACACGCATATCGGTTACCCGAGAACGAGAATATAAATGCGTTGGCCGTTGATCTGTAGTGTTTTCCATTATTCGAGCAAGACGACCATGGGAGAGGATTGTATCCACCGAGTATAGTCTGTGATCCAAATACTTTATATACGACGATGGTTCCCGGATGAGACCCACACAGAGTCCGAAAGGTACTTGGATCGAACCCATCTTCGCTTGCACGTAACAACAATTGCATTCCTTTTGGATATAGACCCGCCATTGAAGCATCAGATACATGCTGAATCCACGATATCACTTGTTGGAATTGTGCCCTCGTGAGAATTCTCGATCGGTTTGACATTGATCCACTCATCGGTGATTGATATCGTGACAGAAATTGAATCTGCGAATTGTATAATTGCGGAGATGATGGGCGAAGACTTATAAAGTAAGAAAGTAAAACCTCATCCATATCTGGTGGGATTAATTCCTTGTATGGTATTCGAACGTGCAATTCGTATTCCTGTGGGGTCATCTGAATTGGGAGGGAAAACGTATAACGTGAGGTTAAAAAAATTTTATTTTTAACAATAGGGTGATTTCTCGTCTTTGTCGTTCATACACACCTCCTCAAATCTGACAAATTCCAAAAACGGCTTTACTAAATCTTTCATCCGTTCGAGCACCTCATCACTCCACGATCGTGGATCGCGTGAAATCTGCTTCCCAAGGTTTTTGCGTTTATCTGAATTGCATCTAGGTGACATATGCTTTTGAAGTTCGCTTGAATGTTCGTTTACACATTCTCTCTCGCGATTCTCTGCCATTATCGCAACATCTCTTTCCGTCGTATCAGCTTCATTCTCTCCTCGACTAACGTTCTTTCTTGCCCATGTTATAACGCATTTCCAAATCTTTCTCCTTTCCACTTTCAACTTATCATTCTGTATCACGTCCATCAATATTTCCTCTTCTAAATTTCCCAAGTCTTCACTATCAAATAAGATTGTCGGGTTCGCGACAATGGACGCATATATGTGTTCACGAAGAATGGAGAACGAATTGGTTCGTGCCGAGAGCGACAGAATCGATACAGCATGTCTGAGAAGGACATCAGAGTGATGATCGATCAAGTAGGTTTCGACGTCATGGAGCGGCGCAAAGAGAAGTAATTCGTCGAGAGAAACAATAAGGGAAAGAAGAGTTGTGGGTTGTTGCTGGCTGAGAGAAAGAGTCCCGGTATAAATGTATCTGGAAGCAGAGCCATAAAGAAATGAAAAACGCGATTGTTAATATTCGGTAATTTTAATCAATTTATAATTCTATCAAGTCTGATACTACCTTTAAATTCATATGATCGCTTTCGAATTTCTTATTTACCTTAAAATCAATTTAAATACATCCGGATCAACGTTTGGTTTGCTAAAGATGTAATATCCGCCCTGTTTTTTTGCCCACCTCGACGATAAAGCTGTTTTAAAATACAACGACCTCGCGCGAAGTATTACCGAATGTGCAGCAAACCGTCTCAATGTGCTGCCAGTACCCACTTCTATTATGACATTGTAGTCGTCCAACTCGTCAAGGAGTCGGTTGAAAGATTGGGATAGGTCTTCAAAATACGTTAGCAACATTTCTTTTTCTGGCTATCTTCCAGTCAGCGCTCCTCATTGCGTCCAATATCATCGGTATTTAACTGTTCTCAGCTTAATGCGTTCGTGGTCATCTGAAATGTGACATAAGCTTCTTGGCAATCTTGGCTTGCTTGGGTAATCGAAAATTTTTTTACCTGTGTAACAATTTGACCCTGATTATCATTAAACTCTTGATTGGAAAAACATTCTCGGTGCCGATCGTGGGAGATTGATCGAGTAATGCTTTTACACGAGTTGTGAAAATGCATGACGACATGCAGAAAAGTAATTTGCATTGTACGTATTATACGATAGGTTGGAATTAGTCAAAAATCTTGTTCGCTTCCCGGTATATTATCATTTAGGATAGAATAAACAATTGCCCCTTGTTATTTTTTTTCACTTTCAAATATTAACAAATTAAACCAGGTTGTGTCAATGGGGATATTTATTAAGCCCATGAGTCTGCGAGGTGTCCTCTCATCGTAATTATGCAAATCAGGACGACTTATCCTTGCGAAGAGAGCGAGAACGATGAAAATCAAGAAGAAACCGACCGTATTAGTGTGGAAGAATCAGATGACTATGTCCGCCTTCACTTCATCTCAACTATGCAAATTTATCCTTGCGAAGAGAGCGAGAATGATGGAAATAAAGAAGAAACCGATTGTGTTAGTGTGGAAGAATCAGATGACTATGTCAATCTTCTCACGAATCCAAATCCTTCCTCCTCATCCAGTTCATCTGCAGTCCCCGTCCATTCCAGACACACGGTCGACGCTTGCTGCGAACCGATTATAGAACATCTTCAGACTAACTACAAAGCTGAAAAAGTATTCCTAATATTCAGAACCAATGCTAAACTGTATAGTCTGTCGCCTGAGAACAGTTTGAGCGGCGGGTTGCTAGTCGGGGATAGAATGAGAGAGGGAAACCGAGGAAGGAACGAAAGAAATCCCGGACAAAGTGCAGAGGGAAAAGGGAAGGAGAGAGACACGGAAGAGCAAACGTCCTGGCTTATCGCCTACCCGATGATTATTCACCGTGATAATATGGTTCAGGATTTGCAGCCAATAGATAAATGTCAAAGCAATGACAACGAAAAAGATGATGACATAGATTTCACTTCCTGCTTACCCATAGACATCTGTTCAATTATGACAGGATCCCTCACGCTTTTAGTTTCCTACGTCTCATTTATCGTGCCACTGGCTCTGGTACCGCTCGAGATTTTTATGGTGCAAACACGTGAACGTGAAGAGTACGACGACGACAGTGTTCAACGAGACGTTCCCTTGGTTTTAATATATTTAGATACTGGTGTGATTCCTATTTTTTTTATACCGAGAGATTGAAAAAGAGAATGAAACAGGGTGATGATGGACATTAATATATAATATATAGACAATAATACTTGTTAAATAAACTGAATTATTTGCTATAAGTAAATTCAACACTTTCCGTATGGCCAAGTTCCACAAGCATGTTTTTGATATGATAGCATTCTGTTGGTCACCGAATGTATATTCATTTTGTTACTATTAATAACAACGCAGCAAAGAAGTGTCGATGATAATGAACAAGTCGACCTAAGATGACTGTATTAGGTAATAATGATAAAAAATAATACTAATACTGACTTTCCCAATTAAGACGTAAACTACATCGCCAAAAGGTCTCGTGATTGTAGACCCCTTACTATTTTACCACCCTTTCTCCCAGCATTTAAATTGGTTTTTCCGTCAGTACAGGATGTCTCTCGAATTCCTGCCAACGTTATCTCGCGATTTAGTAAATCTCCTCGATGATGCAGAAGATTACAATGTCATTGTACATACAGGCGAAGAACCGAATGCGAAGTCGTTCAAAGCCCATTCCAATATATTGAGAGCTAGGTCACCGTATTTCAAACGGGCTTTATCAAATGAATGGGTTGTGAAAGAGAACAATGTTATAATTTACAAGAAGCCAAATATTTCGCCTGTTGTATTTGAAATAATTCTTAGGTAATTGGATATCTCCATTGAATGTTGAATGTGCTTTAGCAACAATGAAAAACGACAGATATTCAAGAATCGCACACGTATCATATCTCACTATTTACATTTCTGTTAGATACATATATAGTGGTAAAATTCCAATCGAACATCAAAATATGACGGACGTTCTTGAGTTGCTCGTGGCGGCAGACGAACTCATGCTGGAGGAACTACTGACCTGCGTCCAAAATTACTTAATCGAAAACCAATCACAATGGCTTCATGACAACTTTTCTCAAGTCATTCACACAGTTTTCCATCTTCAAGCATGCAAAATGCTTCAAGATCACTTTATATACAATATCTGCCGAGATGCACAATTATTTTTTACCTCTTCTGAATTTACATCCGTTGAAGAAGATATACTGCTGGCACTTTTGAAACGAGATGATCTTGATATGGAAGAGATACAAATATGGGATTATGTAGTGAAATGGGGTCGAGCGCAAACTCCCACTCTAAATGAAGATATTTCAGAATGGACTGTTGCAGACTTTGAAATGTTAGAGAAAACAGTACACAAGTGCATCTCTTATATTCGTTTTTATGAAATTTCACCTTCTGATTTTTATGACAAAATCCGACCATACAAGCCAATTATACCTCATGATTTGTATGAGAATCTCGTCCGGTCTCATTACAAACCAAATGAATCCCAGCAAACTTGTCATATGCTCCCTCCTCGTTTAGCATGTATAGATTCTAACATCATAAACTCTGAACATGTTGCTCTAATTAATTGCTGGATAGACGGGGAGAATCAAAAGCCAGCTTTATATCGTAAGCCTCGCTATCGATTCAAACTTCTCTATCGCGGTACTCGAGATGGATTCTCCCCAGTCGAATTTCGACGTAAATGCAATAACACTGGAGCTAACGTAATAGTGGTAAAGTTAGAATCAACAGGTGAGATCATCGGAGGATATAATCCTATCGGATGGTCTAATAGAGGCAAGTATGCTTATTCAGAGAGCAGCTTCATATTCAACCTGGATGATGGAACTGGCTATGACAATATTCGATTGTCGCGTGTTGACACGAAAATGAGTCAGTCGGCAATATTCGATTTGGAGATTTACGGACCCAATTTTGGAAGAGGAGATTTGGTCATTTACGAGAACTGTAAATTGTGTTGCTGCCGGAAAAGCACTACCTACGAACATGAGATAATTGATCCTGGAGATTATGCATTGGCCGAATTCGAAGTGTTTCAAGTTATCACCAAATGAAACGTTAAGTTTCGGATGGCATTTTCCTATTTCGTATTTGTGAACTGACGTTCAATAATTACCATAACTTAGATTCTTCTTAAATAAAATATACATTAGATTCGACTTTGTGACTCAAGGCCCTCAGATGTACTTGTCTATCCCCCTAACATCCTCCAGCTTCTCAATAAGGTACCCCGTTGCTAATTCTCGTGAAAGTAACGGAAGGACATCCATAGCACGCCACGACTCGCATACTTTTTCGACTTCAGCTACTGCATCCTCACTGATACAAACACAAAATATAGCATCGTATCCACCGGCTGAAATCCATCATTTGAAATTAGAATGAGATACGTAAGCAGGGAGAAGAATTACAACGTTAGTTTAAACTGATGTTCTTACCACCAGGAACGCCGGCCATGATTACACCGGCCACTTTCATACAGGCATCGAGCAATTCTGTCTGTTCTGGCGGTTCGATTGGTACTTCTGATTCGGTTGACATTTGCCTTAGCAGATTTCGTATTTGCTAAAACAGGACAGATTGTTAAGAATGGAACAATGTAATCCGTTAGACTTGATAATTGACACTCACTTGGAATGTTTGGTAAACATGATCCATGAATTTTATGACCGAGTTATGAGGACTACCATGACTGAGTTCTGACCACTACATAAACACGGTAGCTCGCTTATTAGAAATTGTTTTTATATTGGGTTACGAACAAAGTATCTTGCAATCATACAATCGTGAACTACCGACCTTCTCTCCCGGTAGTTCGGAGCAACGTCTTATTCCTTCTTCGTACAGATCACGCTCAACCTCACTCATATCTACCAAATACCTTAGATCATCCTCTATTTTCTGGTTACAAGCGCCGAGCTCGTTCCATAATCTATTGGCTGATCAAATAGAAATGAGATTGCGAGTACGCACATGTTTTATTGAACGACTAAAGAATGTACCTTTTTCCGGATTAGCCTTCCGCCATGCTAATACCTTTCCGACCATCGAAGGCGTGTGTGATCCAGCATCCACATCAGCAAGCATAAGAATAAAATGAGGAGGAAGACGTGTTGGTCTAACCACGCTGTCCCACCTATAATAAAATTATTATTAAACTCGGTTCAGATGAAATGGGGTATTTTGCGGAGAACTTACTCATTAAAGTCGGGCTCTACTATTAGGCTGAGTCTTTCAAAGTCGACTATGCCCTTGAGCTAATAATCCGATTAATAATCTTTGAAGCGATCCATAAACTCAATGTAAACATGCATACCTCGCTACGATCTTCATTATTAGCAGCAAAAGCTTCCTCAATCACGCTTGCGGAAAACCGTTTATAAACCTGACTACCCCAGACCGCGGCAGAAATATCAAACCCCGATCCTACCTTTCCCTGCGCAAGTCCGTGACACATCTGTGCCGTGTTGTTGACCAAACGTTTATCATAATCTTTGCCATCTTCATTTTGGTGCACGACTCCAAAGTGAACGTATAAGGCTGCAACAATAGAGGTGGTCAGCGCTGCAGATGAACCAAGACCCGTTTTATGAACTTTCGATATGGGAACGTGGAATGATGACAGTGGGTCTATAAGACGCGTAGAGGCGGCAGTTAGTGGGAGATGGGATTTGGCTAGCTAAAGCGGAATGGGATTGAAAAGACATGGTGACAGTAGACGGGTGATTTAGAAAAGAAAATTAAAAGTCGCGCGCGTCTGAGAGTGAAAACATGATGAATTTTATGCTACCTGTTCCCTCAATGAATAGAAATCGTTACTTCCCAGGACCATAATTTCAAGACCTCTGCCGATTATTTCAGTAAATGCGCTGCTTTCAATCCTTTGTGATATGATGCCAAGTGTGTATTTTATCGCAAATCGAATAAAGGCACTTCCCTTGCCTTGATTTCTTTACACATAATAGCAATGAAAAATAGTATTAATCCTCTTTTTCTTTTTGCATGACATTCTCATGACATTCTCATTATAGACACCTCTGATTAAAAGATTCCAAATTCTCGACATCATATTCCCAGACGGCATCCTCAAACTGTGGTGATTTGACTATTACTTTGTTTGGGCGTTGTCCGTCCTTAATCACACAATAAAACCTCGAATCTGTGCTAATGACAACTGCATTAAATGATCGATCAAGCACAAGGTATCCACCGATTATAAGAGCTTTCCCCGGTGCAGAAACTATTGTGAGCTGTTGTTGATTTGACATGCTTTTGGCTGAAAGTCTGAGACAATGTTTGAATGATGGTTGCACGGAGAAGAATATGTTGCAACGTCGATCGCTAGCTCCGTCTATTAAAATTTTTAATAATCATTTGAAACAAACAATACATTGTGTTCTCTTTAATGTGTGTAATTTATTTGGATTCTATTTTCCTGCCCACTGGATTGAGACATATACAACTTCATCTTTATCCTTGTCCCACGAACAAAACAATTTGGTCTTTCTTACAACGGTACTCATTCTTCCCTCTCTAATTATATCTATTGGATTTATTGGAGCATCCATATCTACAACAGACACGGCAAATTGACTGTGATATTGAAGTGGATCGCCTGTGAGAACGTGACAAGAAGTAAAAGTGAATGGCAATCGAGCACTTATAATACGGATGACCATCTAACGTTTTTACAATTACCTGGATAAGCCAAATAATCACTTCCAAACTTGCTTCCACTAGTAATGTAATAGCCTTTCTCCCAAATATCCTTAAATACTTTATATCTAGTTTTGTCCTCATCGGACTCGGGCCACGTCCATATTAACTGACTTCTGGCTTCTTCAAGGCTAGCATGACTACAATTTTTGTCATCGTACCATGGAAACAAGTAAGAGGATGTTTTTGTCGTAACGGATGGAGAAAATCCACGCGGTGGTTCCAACTTTGGTATATCATTTGTTATGGTCACCTCTTGTTGACTCTCTGATAATGGAGATGGAGATGGAGATGACAAAGGCGAAATGGTCGGCGACTGATCTACTCCTTGAATTTTGTGTGAGCCTAAGCTATTGTCATCTTCATTCAATTTGTTGACTCCAGATGTATGATTGGCAATTCGTGCTTTCCGGGTTCTTAGATAGTCTGCAATTTGTCTTGTCTCATCGTCCGCTTTCTCTTTATGATATGCATCAATCTCATCATCAGTCGGGCATCTGTGCGCGCTGCGATCTTCAATCAACGTTATTACGCCTATTCAAACATACAATATCATCAAAGTTTAGGATGATTTGGGACGACAAAGTACTAGCCTAAACAAACAAGCAACCACACCTTTTGACAATAAAAGAGTCACTTCTTCTTGCATCAATTTTAGCGGTAATCCATAGAAACGGTTTTGCATTGGAAGTTGTGGAAGAGTACCAATGAGTGACCCAACGATATGATATTGTGATCTGAGGGTGTGAATTGCTTTTATGACGCAATGTTAATGTCTAAAAAAAATTCACATCCCAGAGATATTCGTTCTGACATCTTACCATCTGCATCATATACTAGCGCCTTATTATCAACAATGTGCACTTTGAACGGATTTTTCAAACTCATGAGTGCATTAAAACTTGCTCGTCTGAAAGTTGCACAGTAAAAAAGCTTAAATTGACAAAACAATCAATTCCTGGCCTTTGTGTGACTCATGCTGTACGGTAAACAGTTGGCTCGCCGCAAAATTAAAATTTGTAAAAGATTCTTTTTAAAGCATTTGAGAACGACACATCGTCGTTTTATAACCAGTATGGGAACGACACATCATCGTTTCGTAACCAGCTTCGTCAAGTCTAATACTTTGCATAAACTCTAAATCCGTGCATGCATCCCCATGATGACAACCTATGTACAGCCTTTCAATATACAATCGGTGCGAGTTAACACACACGCGATAGACAATTATATAATATTTAATTAATGAAATTAATAGAGATTGCTAATTATTGTATTGGGCATACTTTGATAAACACACTAGCGTTTTAATAAATAAACTTTCGCATGAATCGAGTATCATCGGCAACAGTCAATCAGCAGACGAGGCATTAACTATTCCATGAATCTTTACGTTGCAATATATTCATCTTAAGCCGTTAACGTTAAGCATCTTGTCGTATAATCAATATTGCGGGTCTGAAGCACGACTAAATAGTTGACACGCGTATATTGTGTATTCGAAAATGTGCAATACTTGGGCACACGAAATCACGAGGTTGACGATGGTTGCACCATGTCTTTTTTTGGCTGATTCGGTCCGACACACGCATCGACTTTTGCGCTGCCCCCAATATCAAGCCAAACTGCATTCATTCCCTCCAACATTTACACCATAGATTGACAATCTGAAATACTTTGGACTATGGATGGTCTAAATGAACTTGAAAAGCTCGAATATCTCTCTCTCATTTCTAAAATCACCAGCGAACTTTTCAATCACACTGGTCTCAATGACAAAACTCTTGGTAGGAAGATCAGTCGTTTTAGTTGCGTGCCCGATTGTTTCAACGACCTGTATGTATTGACTGGTTTTTGTCTTCCACATAGCCGAGTTTGTAATAAACCTTCATGAACAGAATCGTTCGCTGCCGGAATTTAAAAAAGTTCTGAACGAAGCAGGAGCAGAATTTCCTGAATCCTTCATTGCAAATCTGGATCGTTTAATACTTAAAATGAATCCAAAGTATAAAAAAAAAGGCGACGCTAATGGTGAGACTAAATCAGAAACATACAATCCAGACGAAAAGGCGAGACTATTTCCTGGTTTGGCGATGCCTAATGATACCGAATGGGTAAGTACTTATGAGAATTCGTCCTATGGGAAAGTCATTCGTGAAATTTGTATGCTTTTACCAAATGTGTTATATATTTACAGCAAAAAACAAGAGAAGAAGACACAAAAGTTGCTGATACGACCCTTGCACAACTAGAGAGCATAGAGAGTATGATCCGATCAAAGAAGCTAGAGGTTATGGAACGGGATGGCAAACAGCAAAAGCGCAACAGGAGCAGAAGTTCGAGCAGAAGTTCGAGCAGAAGTCCACCTTATAGAAGGCGACGGGGTCGTAGTCGTAGTCGCAGCAATAGTCGTGGTTATGGTCGTAGCCGTAGCCGTAGCCGTAGCCGTAGCCGTAGCCGTAGCCGTAGCCGTAGCCGTAGCAGTCGCAGTCACAGTCGTGGTCGCGGTCGTGGTCGCGATCGTAGTCGCGATCGTAGTCGTGATCGTAGTTTTAGCCGTGGTCGTAGTCGTAGTTTCTCGCGTGAAAGAGACAGAAGTAGAGAACGAGGTAGAATACGGCAGCGAAATAATTACTCGGATCGTGAACGGGGGGGCTATGAAAGAAATCGAAGAGAAAGCTACATTGACGAGAGTCCAATTTTATATAAAATATATAACGGTCAAGTGACTAATATGAAAGAATTCGGTGCCTTTGTCTGTTTGGATGGAGTAAAAGGAAGAGTTGAAGGTATTTTTGTTATTAGTTTACAGTCATGGCATACAATTCTTCCCAGACGAATAGTACTGATTTAATTTAATCATGTGTAGGGATGGTTCATGTGAGCATGCTTCAAGCGGGCGGACGAGTAAACCACCCATCAGATGTTGTATCTCGAAATCAACGCGTAAAGGTCAAAGTTATGTCTATTATTGGATCACGGATAAGCTTATCAATGAAGGATGTAGACCAAGAGACGGGAAAAGATCTTTCTCCGCATCTACGTGTGAAGACTGAAGCGGTACGACCTGATCTTTTTATAAAGTCATCTGTCTGCATTTTTGTATGGAAATACTAACAACAGTTCTGTCGGTAATAGGAGCTTGCAGCTGAAGCAAGCCGTAATCCTGAGAAACCTTTGTCTCTTGCTCAGACTCCTATATTAGAAGAAGACGAAGATACATCAAGGTACAAACGCCTCTCATCACCCGAACGCTGGGAAATCAAACAACTTATAGCGTCTGGTGTACTTAAAGCGTCGGACTATCCTAATTTTGACGAAGAACATGGTGTAATGGATAACATGGAAACTGAGGAAGAATTGGATGTTGAAATCAGAGAAGAAGAACCACCGTTTCTTAGGGGTCAGACGAAGCATTCTATGCAATTGAGTCCTATCAAAGTCGTAAAAGCACCTGAAGGAACATTAAACCGTGCTGCTCTATCTGGTGCCGCGCTTGCAAAAGAACGAAGAGAATTAAGGTGAGTATGGCATTGGAAGTTGGAATAGTGAATTGACTGTTTTTTCTATGCTTGGAATGAATGTTAATGAACCTTGTTTTGTTTCTACAGGCAACAACAAGCGAATGCCGAGTTAGATTCTGTTTCTCGTGATGTTAATACAGCTTGGCTAGATCCTATGCCTGAACCCGGTGAACGGCATTTTGCGCAAGATTTGCGTAGCATTGCCGCTGGTCGTAAAGCAGGCGAAGTACCGGAATGGAAGAGAGAAACGTTTAACAAAGCCACAAGTTTCGGCAAAATCACAAACATGTCAATCAAAGAGCAAAGAGAAAGTCTGCCTATCTTCAAGCTACGGTCGCAATTGATTCAGGCTATTTCGGATGTAAGTACATTAATCTTGCTTAGCGGTGTTATGCTCGCTGCTCTTTCTTGTTTCCGGCGATTGTTGCATAATATTATTTGTTGTTTAGAATCAACAATTGATTGTAGTTGGCGATACAGGTTCGGGCAAGACAACACAGATGACTCAGTACATGTACGAGGAAGGGTTTGCAAATAGTCGGAAAAAAATCGGTTGTACTCAACCACGTCGTGTGGCCGCTATGTCCGTAGCCAAGCGTGTGGCGGAGGAAGTCGGTTGTCGTCTTGGCGAGGAAGTAGGATACACAATTCGTTTTGAAGATTGCACGAATCCTGAGAAGACATGTATTAAATACATGACAGATGGTATGCTGCTTAGAGAGTGTCTATTGGATCCTGATCTGAACTCATATGCCGTCATCATTCTCGATGAGGCTCACGAGAGGACAATTTATACAGATGTGTTGTTCGGATTATTAAAACGTAAGTTATATTTTTTGTGAAGAGTTTCAGAGAGTGAACGGCTAAACAATTTAATGGCTAATTCACATGCCCTTTATAGAAACTCTCAAAAAACGTCCCGAACTTAGGGTAATAGTCACGTCCGCAACGCTCGATGCAGAAAAGTTTTCGAAATATTTCTTTGGCTGTCCTATATTCACTATTCCTGGCCGTACCTACCCTGTCGAAATATTGTATACGAAAGAGCCGGAATCTGATTACCTGGACGCAGCGCTTATTGCGGTTATGCAAATTCACTTACAAGAACCACCAGGAGATATTCTTCTTTTCCTGACCGGTCAAGAAGAAATTGAAACTGCTTGTGAAATTTTGTATGAACGTATGAAAGCTCTTGGTCCTCAAGTTCCTGATCTCATAATTCTGCCAGTGTACTCTGCATTACCTGGTGAAATGCAATCTCGTATATTTGAACCAGCACCTCCAGGCAGTCGTAAAGTTGTCATTGCTACGAATATTGCGGAAACATCAATTACTATCGATGGCATCTATTATGTTGTCGATCCTGGCTTTGTTAAGCAGAATGCTTATGATCCTAAAATTGGTATGGATTCATTAATTGTAACGGTATGTTCATTGAAAACTAATTTTTTTCTGCTTATGGGATATATTATTGGACCTTACTGAAACAAAGCAATATATACTTTTCCAATAGCCGATTTCTCAAGCACAAGCAAATCAACGTGCTGGACGTGCTGGGCGTACTGGGCCCGGAAAGTGAGTAGTCATGCTCACTGTTCGCCAAACATTAATTCCTTTAGTGAATGCTTTTATTGACTTTTTTCTTCTTTTAGATGCTATCGGTTATATACGGAAGCTGCCTTCCGCAACGAGATGCTTCCGAATCCCGTTCCTGAAATTCAACGGACAAATTTGGCCCATACGGTACTTACACTCAAGGCTATGGGGATAAATGATCTGCTTCATTTCGACTTTATGGACCCGCCTCCTGTACAAACGCTTCTTACTGCATTAGAACAGTTATACGCTCTCTCTGCTTTAGATGATGAAGGTTTATTGACAAGATTAGGTCGAAAAATGGCAGAATTTCCATTGGAACCGCCTCTCTCCAAAGTGTTAATACTTTCGGTCGATCTTGGTTGTTCTGAAGAGATTCTTACCGTTGTTGCAATGTTGTCAGTTCAGAATGTCTTCTACAGACCGAAAGAGAAGCAGGCGGCAGCTGATCAAAAAAAAGCCAAGTTTCATCAGCCTGAAGGAGATCATCTAACTCTTTTGACTGTCTATAATGCGTGGAAGGCTAGCAAATTTTCCAACGCATGGTGTTTCGAGAATTATATTCAGTCTAGAAGCATGCGTCGTTGCCAGGATATCCGCAAACAGTTACTGGGTATTATGGATAGGTATAAACAAGACATCATTTCCTGTGGGAAGAATTACAATAAGGTTAGGCGAGCAATATGTGGTGGCTTTTTCCGTCATGCTGCTAAAAAGGATCCTCAGGAAGGATACAAGACTTTGGTTGAGGGTACGCCGGTATATATACATCCATCCAGTGCACTGTTCAACAAAGGACCGGAATGGTAAGCTCAAATGAACATGCTCAGTATGTGAGGGGTTGCTCATAATTTCTTTTTTGACACGAATAAATAACATAAGAAACTTTTGTTCTTTGCATTGTGCTCCTCGAACAGGGTGATCTATCATGAATTGGTCCTGACTACTAAAGAATACATGCGAGAAGTTACCGCTATTGAACCGAAATGGCTTACTGAAGCAGCGCCTAAATTCTTCAAAGTGGCAGATGCCAATACTATTAGTAAACGCAAGAGAGGTGAAAAGATTCAACCACTATACAACAAGTACGAAAAACCGAACGAATGGCGTCTCAGTCGCGTCAAAAGGCATCAGAGAGTATCACAAACATTTGGATAATTATTGGAGAGATAATAAATAATAATAATAATAATAAGTAAAAGCCTTCGTAATCATAATTCGTCATTTTTGGTTTAATGCCCAATGTGTCATTATCCTTCTTCTAATCGATGATTTCATTTACGATTCTACTTTATTTTTATTTGGAGACTTAAGAGCACAACGCCAAGATATTAGAAATGGTATCTCGCGCAAATCTAAATAATACATGCATGCACATCCATGTGATTCACTTACTTATAGTTAATAATGCGCTGTTCCGAATGATTAGGAACAAGTGTTTAGGAGAGAGGAGGGGTATTTGAATTTCTTTGAGAGACATGACCATGACCAGCGTCATCTATCTGCGGTCGATTACTATTGAGCGTTACGCCCATTAGACCATTTGCAAACACTTCAAGTGACGTCTTCTTCGGTAAAAAGGATATTTAGATCCTTATGGGGGCAAGCGTTGTAGCAGCACATATTTGAAGTCACGTGATAGTAAAGCGTGCATAGTAATACAAATAATAGCGATAGGGGAAGTCAGTCCGTATATAAACTTCAAAACCTTAAGGCTTTTCAAGGGCGTGGGTTATGGCCTCAAAACTTAGGCGGTAGATACTTTCATGCTTGCTTTACCAGAAAATAAGGCGTTTTTTTTCATTTTCATTGACGTTATTCTCGGTTTACATATGTATATATACTTTTTGTAGGAACGGTTATCAATTACTTTATAGCAAGGGAAAAACTTTTCTATTTTCTGGTAGAGTAAGCATGAAAGTATCTACCGTCTAATTTTTGAGGCCATAACCCACGTCCTTGAAAAGCCTTAAGGTTTTGAAGTTTATACGTCCTTTACTATTGCAAAATGATCGGCAATGATCGGCGAAAAAACTTCATATACGGACTTTCATATGTGACTTCCCCTATGTTTGTATTACTATGGATATCGTACCCCCCAATCAATCATGTGTCCATGCGTCACATTAAGAGCGGAGCTCATGCCAAGGCATAGAAAAATCGACATAATATATAATCGAATCCTTTATTAGCAAAGCCAGTATGACCGATATCTATTTATGAAATTCTAAGGAGTCGCTACAGTTGTTGTCATTTCACCAGAACTATGCTCACTATACCCAGAATCAGAATTATATAATATCTTATGGATTGTACATGCGACGGCTGTTCTCAGAGTCATCAAAGTATGTATAAGTGGGTATACGGCACTTGGCGAAGTCATATGTAATGGAATTGTTGCTTCCTCTATTAGACAGTACTTGTAAATACCCGACTCTCTACGCATAGCATAAAGTTCTATATTATCGCCTATAATAAAAGCAACATGATTAAGAGCAGGAGGTATAGCTTCAGGAAAATAAAAAAAATACAATGTATTACCTGCGATGTTAATAGCAAATATAGCCAAATTCTGCCTCTTGGACGATTGTTTGAATATTCTTTTAAGCTTCGATAAAATCCTAGTAGTATCAATAGAATCCTTGGAAAATCGAATTAATTTTTTATGATCTCGCCGGCGTTTATCTTGACTGGAATTTGGTCTGCCAGTTTCAAGGTATACTATTTCAAGTTCTGCATCTTTTCCTAATTGCGTTATGGTCATATAATCAGGTTTTCGTGCAAACTTGCGAGATCCTTTTCGTACAGTACTAGCCGAACTCCCCTCTTCACCCCTATTTATAAAAATCATTAAATAAGAAACATTTCATAGCCGATACCAGAGAACTGCTTACCATATATCCCATACAACAGGATTTCCGGGTAAATCACTCATTACTATATTTATTAATGGTGCAAGTACTTCACAGACATATGATCCTTCATTAACAGATTTTCCTTTCTTTGTATAGGCTTCATACTTAGGCGATTTCCAAACCTTAAACCTACAAAAGATCCCGCCCGTTCACATTACTCATTAGTAGTTGCAAGTTAACATATATAAGAATGCAGAATATACTGTGCGATGAGTCAAGCGAACTTACAAAGATTCTAATATTCGTCTCGTTGTTTCTCGAAGCCTTTCAGAACTATCTAACCATTTTCCAAATTCGGCATCACACAATTCTTCGTCTAAATTTATCTTCGACTCCTCATTATGTATAACCTCTTTACAAGTATTCATTAACATATCATTATGATCTAGCTTGTATTTCTCGAAAGGCTCCTTAAAAATATCACAAAGTGATCCGGGCATCTTTGTAAAAGGTACTGATTTAATATCAAGTACCCCAGAGCATATCGGATGATCAAATCCAAGGCTTTCGACATTTATTTTTCCTAATTCCATTTCTATTCTTTCCCACATAGCTTTCTCATAACCGGTGCTCTCTTTTATAAGTTGTCCAACGTCACGTTTCAAACGCCGCAAATTTGCATTCGCATCATCAGACCATGTCTCGGCATCAATTACCAGAGCCTTCATTTCTGTTAGAGAGCATAAATCTTCGAATGCGCTTGCAACCTGAAATTAATTAACTTAGCTTAGACTTAACATATTTTATTAATTAAGGTGAATAACAATTCGCGGGATCAGATTAGGTTTCCATTTTCAAAAACTATCAAAATTGCCGGCAATGAGCTCAATGACCAATATTCCGGGCACATATAACTAGTTACTGCCATGCGGGAAGTGATAAACTCACAACGGACATTAGCGCATTCGCTAGCATATATGCCTTTTAGAAAACCTAAAAATACAAATCATCATATCCATATATTTATTGCGGAGCAATGAGGCTTTGCCTCTCATAAAAATTTTATCGTCTTACCCGTTTCGCTAATTTTTTTCCTGTACCAAAACTTTGAAGCTTCTTTTTCCGTTCAACATCACCTGAGGGGACTTTTTTCAAAACTCTTTCTAGGACATTCATAAAATTCTCCACCTCCTTTTCGAGAACACCAGTCCATTCACCATGTTCTACTCGTGTATACAAAGCTGTAGAGATTCTAACAATATCAAGGGGTTCTTTTGATAAAAGAAATTTTTCCATTTTTCGTTATAATAAAAAAATAGATATTAGTCTGTAATCCCTATATAAAAATCACGAGTAAGAAAATGCAATAAAACAAAATCACTAAAAGCGACAAGTAACGCTATACAGCCCTTTTAAACGGTTCCGCATTTTCTCTTTCTGGCCTCATTTAGGCATAGGAATAGTAGCCATTGCCATGCAATAGATCTAGGGAATGTGAAAGGGGAGCAATGCAAGCCCATAGGTATTTACTATGTAAATATGCACGACGAAAAAACTTTTCACAAAGAAATGCATATATCACAAGTTAATCAAACAATCAGCAGGTCACACGGTTACATGCATAAAAAGTTCCATGATCTGTGTTACACTTATTTTGGAAATTTGACCGCAGTAACAGGTCGTACGATTGCATCATGCATGAAAGATTCCATGACCTTCGATTTTATCTGTGGTATAATATGTGATATGTATTACGGAGTAATGGCCTGATCGAACATCTTAATCTGTATTACGCAATCGATTTTTCAGGCATGTGATTCTTTTTCCGATAATTGATTGTAATAAGAGGGTTTTCAATTGACTGGATTATCGTAAAGAGGCTAAGCTAATTCATCACTGTTTTGTGAAATTAATGCCAATCTTTGCCCCGTCTTCGTAAATATTGAGCGATTCCGATTCGACCTCCTATCTCTATTCTACCCGATGATCCAAAAGAGAAACGAAACTATGTAATTAAAATGGTATTGGAAAAGGTTCCTAATTTATCTCTTAACTATAGTAATAAAATTGTCGATTACTTTACTTGTTTAACATCATGCCGTATATGCAATAATGTTCATAAAAATGAAAATTTAGAAGGTGAGTGGGGTATTGGTGAATATGCCAATACAAGAACAGATCGCCTCAGATGCTGGGGGAATAAATATCAGAATCCAATTCAAATAGTATCTATAATGGTATAAGATCGACCTATTACCATATAGCAGACATTTTAACTGTTACAAGACACGAAATGAAAAAATAACAAATTATATCTTTATTGACATCTGTAGGCTCGAAGAGCCATTGCTCTGCAATAAAATAAACCATTTAGCCTGTGCGTGATAGAAGAGTTCCAGAATGTCTAGAAAAAATCGCACGTGGTGCGACACGACGACCATATACCCATGCCGATAGAATTTTTCGTTTTTTCGATTTACTACTTGCACCAGTTATTAAAAATAGAAGACCTCCTGATCTGGCTATGCCTGGCTAAAAATTCGTATGAATTGAACATGGATTTTTTCCCATTCTTCCATAAGATCATCGAGCCATGCAGTACTCAAACCACTTTTTAGTATACCTTGACGTAATAACTCTTCACCGACCAGCCTCTCCCGATCTGTTAAAAATTTGCGATATCTTTCTAGGGTCTTCTTTTCTTTTTACTTCTTTAACACCCAGTGGTTGAGTGGGAGCTAAGAAATTAGAAAGAAAAATATATTTATTAAAAAAGGATCTCGGACAAGGAAAGGGTTAAGGAAAAGATTAATTGGCTAATTTCTTCTGATAAAATCAGATTCCACCGCGATAGAAACGTATATCTCTTTCCAAATCCCCACGAAAACATCCCATGGCCCATCTTGATGGCTCTCGAATGACGATACAAATGCAATCTACACGTCACCCTGATGAGCAGACTGTAAACGTCTCATCTTTGACGAGGCAACGCAAAATGCGCGTCACTCGAATGACGATACAAACGCAAATCGCTCGTCATACCTGAGACTATATTATACTCTAATCTAAGCCGTTTTTTGTTTATATAAACAAAAAACGGCTCACATAATTTGTGTCGATCATTCAAATTCACATGATCGACAAGCCACAAGAAAAATTTTCTTCTACATGTAAACGATTGGATCTCAATAAGATTCTGTTGGACAAACAAAGGATATTATCAATATGTAAACAAAACCAAGCTTAAGAGTTTCTTTACGAACAATATGTATAAACCGTTTTTTACCGGATTTGCTCGAATCCTTAAATTGAGTATATAATTATGTCTCACAATATGCGTAGCGTACTAGTGCCAGTATAACATTTTATTAATCGAATAATATACATTACATTTAGTATATTTTTTAACTCGAAGATGACGCCAAATATATCTTTAGTTACCCAAGAATGAAATTGAAGAGTATCCCTCTCAAAAATCTGAAACTTCTTCAACTGAAGAAGTTATCTCACCATCAAAACAAATCAATTATAAATATCTTTTTTTATTTTCTTTATTTTTATTACTGTTGTCTCCTCTGTATATACGTTTGTTAATATTTTTTATTATATTATATATATCTCGAATTTGAAAGAATTTATATTACGTGGGTGGTTGAAAAGTTTTGATCGTCTATTATTTATTCAACAATGTACATAATAATTTACAAATAAATCACACAAGTC